GTTGTTGTTGTTGTTGTTGTTATTGTCTGAAATCCTAGAAAAACAACATTTTTCGACAGCTTCTGTTGCCTGCGGCTGCTTTTGCCTGCGCCTGCTGCAGCTAAACAGCTTCGAACAACTCACCTCCCGGGGGAAAACCCCATGCTTCTGAAGGACGAGCTAGTTCCAAAACCACGCCAAAAAACTGCCTAACGTGTCGTCTGAAATTCTAGAAAAACAACATTTTTCGACAGCTTCTGTTGCCTGCGGGTGCGGCAGTAAAACAGCTTCGAAAAAATCACCTCCTCCCGGGCGGAAAAAACACCATGGAAGTGAAGGTGGGGGTTGTTCTTGTTTGTGTGTTGTTGTTGTTGTTGTTGTTGTTGTTGGTGTTGGTGTTGGTGTATGGACACCACTCGAAACGCTGAAACGCCACCTAATTTCGTGCCCAAAACGCTCCAAAAGTGACCGGGAAAAGTACCTAATGTTGTTTCTGAAACCCTAGAAAAAATCACCTCCCGGGGGAAAACACCCTGCCTCTGAAGGACGAGCTAGGTCCAAAACCACGCCAAAAAACTGCCTAACGTGTCGTCTGAAATCCTAGAAAAACAACATTTTTCGACAGCTTCTGTTGCCTGCGGCTGCTTTTGCCTGCGCCTGCTGCAGCTAAACAGCTTCGAACAACTCACCTCCCGGGGGAAAACCCCATGCTTCTGAAGGACGAGCTAGTTCCAAAACCACGCCAAAAAACTGCCTAACGTGTCGTCTGAAATTCTAGAAAAACAACATTTTTCGACAGCTTCTGTTGCCTGCGGGTGCGGCAGTAAAACAGCTTCGAAAAAATCACCTCCTCCCGGGCGGAAAACACCATGCCTCTGAAGGTGGTGTTGTTGTTGTTGTTGTTGTTCTTGTTGTTGTTGTTGTTGTTGTTGTTGTTGGTGTTGGTGTTGGTGTTGGTGTATGGACACCACTCGAAACGCTGAAACGCCACCTAATTTCGTGCCCAAAACGCTCCAAAAGTGACCGGGAAAAGTACCTAATGTTGTTTCTGAAACCCTAGAAAAAATCACCTCCCGGGGGAAAACACCCTGCCTCTGAAGGACGAGCTAGGTCCAAAACCACGCCAAAAAACTGCCTAACGTGTCGTCTGAAATCCTAGAAAAACAACATTTTTCGACAGCTTCTGTTGCCTGCGGCTGCTTTTGCCTGCGCCTGCTGCAGCTAAACAGCTTCGAACAACTCACCTCCCGGGGGAAAACCCCATGCTTCTGAAGGACGAGCTAGTTCCAAAACCACGCCAAAAAACTGCCTAACGTGTCGTCTGAAATTCTAGAAAAACAACATTTTTCGACAGCTTCTGTTGCCTGCGGGTGCGGCAGTAAAACAGCTTCGAAAAAATCACCTCCTCCCGGGCGGAAAACACCATGCCTCTGAAGTTGTTGTTGTTGTTGTTGTTGTTGTTGTTGGTGTTGGTGTTGGTGTTGGTGTTGGTGTATGGACACCACTCGAAACGCTGAAACGCCAATCACCTCCGGGGGAAAACCCCATGCTTCTGAAGGACGAGCTAGTTCCAAAACCACGCCAAAAAACTGCCTAACGTGTCGTCTGAATTCTAGAAAAACAACATTTTTCGACAGCTTCTGTTGCCTGCGGGTGCGGCAGTAAAACAGCTTCGAAAATCACCTCCTCCCGGGCGGGAAAACACCATGCCTCTGAAGGTGTTGTTGTTGTTGTTGTTGTTGTTGTTTCTTGTTCTTGTTGTGTTGTTGTTGTTGTTGTTGTTGTTGTTGTTGTTGTTGTTTATTGTCTGAAATCCTAGAAAAACAACATTTTTCGACAGCTTCTGTTGCCTGCGGCTGCTTTTGCCTGCGCCTGCTGCAGCTAAACAGCTTCGAACAACTCCCCTCCCGGGGGAAAACCCCATGCTTCTGAAGGACGAGCTAGTTCCAAAACCACGCCAAAAAACTGCCTAACGTGTCGTCTGAAATTCTAGAAAAACAACATTTTTCGACAGCTTCTGTTGCCTGCGGGCGCGGCAGTAAAACAGCTTCGAAAAAATCACCTCCTCCCGGGCGGAAAACACCATGCCTCTGAAGGTGTTGTTGTTGTTGTTGTTGTTGTTGTTCTTGTTGTTGTTGTTGTTGGTGTTGGCGTTGGTGTTGGTGTTGGTGTATGGACACCACTCGAAACGCTGAAACGCCAAATCACCTCCCGGGGGAAAACCCCATGCTTCTGAAGGACGAGCTAGTTCCAAAACCACGCCAAAAAACTGCCTAACGCGTCGTCTGAAATTCTAGAAAAACAACATTTTTCGACAGCTTCTGTTGCCTGCGGGTGCGGCAGTAAAACAGCTTCGAAAAAATCACCTCCTCCCGGGCGGAAAACACCATGCCTCTGAAGGTGTTGTTGTTGTTGTTGTTCTTGTTGTTGTTGTTGTTGTTGTTGTTGTTGGTGTTGGTGTTGGTGTTGGTGTTGTTACAACCTCTCTGCCCTGACGCGCTCCCCCTTGCCGTCGGCCGGGGTCGGCGGATATATATATATATATATGATATATATATATATGACAACGGTTGACAACGTAGTCAAGGGATCTCAAGGCCTTGAGAATTCCCTGGTGCCGTGACTTTGCTGACTTTGCTGAGGTTGTGGATTCACCAGCTTCTGCCCGCAGTGGGTCCTGCATCGTTGTCCCCTCACACATCTCACAATGCAAAGGGCTCACGCTCGCCAGGTGAAGAATCTCCTGCTCGGTGTTTATCTCAGCATATCTCAGCGTTTGGCCGGGATTTGTCGCTTTTCAGCTTTGGAAGATGATCTGATGGTGGTGACCGGTGGTGACCGGTGGGTCGAGGGCAGCATTGGAGCGAGCAGCTCCAAATTCTGCACGGCAGCGCAGGCTGAAGGAGTGCTAGTGACTGCTAGTGCTAGTGCCAGCACACATTGCAGTTGGCAGGATGGGAAGACCGCAGCATAATGATCCAGAGCAGCATCCTAAAAACCTTAGTGCCCTTTGTGAGACCAGCAAAACCAGATATTTGTGAGCAGCAAGACCAGCCTTGATATCCAGGAGATGTTGACTTCTGTGGGTTTCTTCTGAGACGTCACACTCAACGGCGTCCAAGACGTCCTGTTCGGGTTCAATGCCTGGAGATCTGTGGCCGAGTTTGGTGACTCAAGCGACTCCGACGGCAGGAAGATTTGGAAGACATTGGAAGCTTCAAAGCTATGCTTCCCAAAGCTATGCTTCCCAAAGCTATGCTTTCGACTCCAAGCCCAAGCCGGGCTTTGGAGCTTTCGACTTAGAGCTGAGGAAAATAGTGAGAAGAGTTGTGGCGGGAGTCGTGGCAGCGTGTGAAGTTTTCAGCTGAACTTCTTCGTCGAAGAATGCCACTTGCTTTGAGGATCGAAAGAATCAAAGTGGTACGAATCGCTGTGTTTTTTTATTGGCATGTGGCTTGTTCTTTTAATTTTGCTGATGCCTTCTCTGCCTTCTCCTCTTATCTCAGATATCTCTTACTTTTGGTTTTGGTTCAAGAGCTGACAATGTGACCTACCTGCCTCTTTGGCACCAGTCATGGCGGAGGCTGAGGTGAGGGAGTACTGAAACACATGAAGAAGACCTGGAGTAAGATGTAGTAGATCACGGCGGACTCGGACTAGACCACACTTAAACTTTGAGTAGTAAGATGATGCAAAATGATGAAAAATGATGTAAGATGATGAGAACCACCCTGGGAGGCAGTGCCGGACCCACCAGAAGCTGCTCCTGTGATCATCTCAGTCTAAAGATGTCTAAAGATGTCTAAGTCCGATGTCCGAAGAGGACCTGCAGTTTCCATCAGTTTCCATGCTCTCATGGACACCTGCAGCCAGGTGGCCAGCCTGAAACTCATCATCAGCAAGAGCCAACATCGACTGGGTTGAGCATGTCGAGCACGTCCCATGTTGTTTCTGATTTGTTTCTGAAGCCATGGATTCTCTGGATTTTCTGAAGTGATTGTATAAGACTTTGATCAATTCTATCTGCTCTCTTTGCAATTGACTCAGAAGCGGCACTCCCATGAGCATGAGGTGATCCACCAGCCGAAGGGGCCGCAGGCTCGTTTGCCAAGCTCCAAAACTCTCATGGGATGATTCGCAGTGAAAATACAATGCTAGATGTTCCAAGATGTTCGAAATGTGGAATGCCGATGAATGCCGTGGATATGTCAATTACCCGGTGGTTGATGCTATATGACCCATGACCGTCATGACCGTCACCGTGGAACGCCATGGAACGCCGTGGAACACCGTGGACCCGCAACGCGCAACACGTCCACGACAGGTGAGGCGCCCGAAGCCGCGGCCGCCGCTGCGCCCGAGGCCTCCGAGGTCCCCGAGGCGGCGCCGTCGGTGCCGTCGGTGCCGTCGGTGCCCGCGGTCACGGAGACGTCCGCCTCCGCATCGGCGCCCGAGGTGAGGAACACAACGGCAACGCTCCAAGGATTGGATAACTTAAAGTTACTTAGAGAAGATAATTCTGATATGTTATGACTTACACTTTAGATAACTTAGTTATATTTAGGTATACTTAGTTAATTAATATGAATGATAGTAATGATAATTAGAGTTGTTATCCATTCTCATCCATTCTTAGCCATTCTTATCCATTGTTGTGCAGTTAACGTATCATGTTCTTAAACTTTTATTCATTTTTATCCAATGTCATCCCATGTCATCCCATACTCATATGGCGGCCTCCCCTTGATAGCTGGTTGGAAGGCACCTGAAGCTTCTACCTCAACGGACGTGCGGTTGCTAAGACTTCGATGCAATGATTAGCTGCAGAAGAAGGCACCAAAAAGACCCCCTGAGCTCAAAAGCTGAACTGCCTGAAGGGACTTGGACAGGATCAATAGACATCAACTCAATTCAGTGTGAACATCCAGTCAGATGTTCATCAAGGAAAGTAGTCTCACTGTTTGAGATTTCTAGTTTAGACAACTTGGATTCCTTTCCTGGAACTTCTCCAAATCAATAAGATGTCACCAGCCGAGGCGCAAAGTCATCCAGTTTCTGGTGAAGCAAGCATTGACCTAGTAATCCTGCCTGAGGCAGGGACAGTTGAATCGTGTTGAACCGCAATGAACACTGAAAGGCATCACATGGCATCACATGGCAGCACATGGCAATTTATTTTGCTACCCTCAGCAAGCTTCCATGAGTCCAGAATTGAATGGTTTTCTCGTGTTTTCTTGGCAATTTAGCTCAAGATGTGCAGCCACACTTGGAACAGGGCTATGGCCAGACCAAGCAAGTCAACATAGACCGGCTGGTTGGGCAGATTCGTGCGGATCTGGAGCATGAGCAACCCAGCTGCACAGCACGAGCAGCATGAGCAGCACGAGCAGCATGACGGACAGGTTACATAACCGGTACAGTTACAGTTGGATGGAATTTGAGATCACTCAGATTCTATCAGCATTGTTTGGATTTATAGTGATTTATATATGGTTCATGGACTACACGGGAAGGGGATGTAACGGGAGTTTTTGCCCTTCGATTCGTGGATCTAAGGCTTAGCATTCCCGACAAGTCGCTCTTCTTGATGAACTTGTCAGGTGCTGCAGAGGTCTGGCGATCAGCTGCGTTCAAAAATTGGGTCATCCCACAATTCTATAGTTGATGATGGTTGATCAATGTTGATAATCATTTCCCATATATTCCCATATCATCCATATCCCATTTCTGGGACCGAGCTGCCATGAGCTGGAAAGCACCCTGCACAGTTTTGCACACACTGGCTCTGTTCGCCAGTTCAAGCAAGTGCTCCCTGACGAGAAATCGCTTAGAGATTTGGGCTTGAAGCCTGGAGACAGGGTGTGGAGCTTGGAGGGTGGCAGACCGATGCAGACCGATGCAGACCAATGCAGACCGCATGAGAGAATCCAATGGCACGAGTTGGATGATGGGGACACTACCCTCTCTTTTTTTTGGTGCCATTCAGGCGGGGATTGAGCTCAGAATCAACTACTACCAGGAACAAGCAGCCGAGGCCTGGGAAGCGTTCCAGAATTCTGCTATGTCTGCTATGTCCACTTGACACCTCAAAAACAACATGTGAGCATTTTTGCATTATGAAAAGTAAAATGCAGAGAAGCGTAGGAACCTGAGAGTTTTCGGAACGCGTCTTGAGAAAATGGTGGACACCTCCAGTTGGAGTCTCGGGTGCATCGCGTGCAGGAGTACGTCATGCCCGACTGCCTCGAGCTGAAAGTGGTGAACGATCGCGGCGAGGTGAAATCAATGAACCACTTTCCACTTGGTTCACATCCAGCAGTCGACCCGCTCCATGATTTTTCGAGCGGTTGGATTATACATGATGATACAATATGATACATGATAACACAATGACTCCAGCTTGCCTTGGGCTGCAGATGATTTTGGGGTTAGCTTTGGATAGCTTTGGGGTCTGGATGGATCTGGATCTCCCCTTTTTCATGCTTTTTCCACAATGAAACCTCGAAATCGGACGCAGGAGCGGATCATTTCGGTCCACGTGCAGCGACCCGTCATGGAGAAGCGCCAGCCTCAGTTTGATGCTGGGATCGCCAGGTCATCATAGTCCCAGAACATGTTGAGCACTCACTCTAGCAGCTGATATTAGCAGCTGAAATCGCTCAGGCCGTATTTTGGTGGCTATCGAAACAAGATGACGGGGTCGACGTGGGCTGCTCAGTATTGTTTTTTGTCATGGATGTGTGGCAATGACTTTTCAATGTGGACAGTATTGCGCTGAAAATCTCGGAAGGTTTCATCACGCAGTGACCCAGACTGCACCAATCCAGAAGAAGGATGTGCACATCATCCGTTTCCATCGCGAGGCTGGAAAGCATTGGAAAGCCAGTTTTTGGTGTTGTCAAACTTTGAGCATCTAAATATTTGTTCGTTGTCCCATCGATATCTGATTGATAAGATATCCCATCAATATCCCCATTCATATCTCATTAAACCATGTTTGGTTCTGTGATTCGGACCCTGCGAGGCACAAACCTACGAGTACCGAACCCGATCTACGCAGTGCAAGCGCGAGGCTGGCACGCAGATGGAGAAGGCGCTGTGGCCGATTCGCCAGCAACACCAGTGGGGAAAGATTCGGAAAGAGGGAGTCACGTGAGTCACGTGAAACACGTGAAACACGTGAAACACGTGAGGTGGGCTTGTACGTGGATCAGCGGGATGATGTGGTCATGAAGCCACGGCGGCCGTACTTCAGCAGCGCAGACAAGGCGGTGCGAGGAGAGTTCTGGGCGGACTTCATGTCTGGAGTCACTTAAGACAGGAAAAGGACGGAAAAGAATGTTTGAGTCTAGGAAGCTGGCAGGCTTGAATCTGTTCCAACTTGCAGATGCTATTTCTGACTCCTTGCATTCAGTTGCATTGAAAAAGAGTCAGCTCCCCCTATAACTCACCAGCACAGTTGGTCAGGCGGCGCTGGTTCTTGAAAAGCAACTCGGATGTATTTGGCAACTCTGGATCACGAAGCCAAGCCTGGTGGCCCTGCTTTGGTATGCTTTGGTCACTAAGGTGCGTCATGATTCAATGCCATGCCAGAGGCATGTTAGCCAGAAGGCGGGGGTTCATAGTCTCTGTCTCAGTGTGACTTTACTGCCTCGAATTGACTCGAATTTACGTCGTAATTTGACAATGTGCGGGTGACAGGCGCACTCGACAGCTTCGGCAAGCACGACAGGCCTTTCGTTGAAGCTTTCAGGGAGATGTGCCGAAGGGATCCAAAGGGTCTGCAAAGTCTACCACACTCATGCTGTGTTTTGGGTCGACGGGTTCAATGAGTTCAAGTGAAGTTCAAAGCAACTCGAAAACGCATCAAGAAACAGCAGAAAACAAACCTGGCTTTTGCTATGGTTGAAAAATGTGGTAAATATGGGTAAATGGGATACCAACAGCAGTTTTAGATAATTTTAGTATTTACCCATCCAATCCATTTGTAATTTTGAGCCATTCCTACTTGAACATAGGCTGAACATAAGGAATAGGTTATGGTTGGCTCCAGCGTGTTGATCAACTGAGAAACGCCTGCTGTAGGAGCGCGAAGAATTGGAACAAAGAGAGGCAGAACGCCTGCAGCTGGAGGCAGATCTGCTGGTGGGAACTGACGTTGATGCAACTCATGCAACTCACTGACGTTGTCACAGCCAGGCAGATCTGAGACACAAGCGTGAGGTGGAGAGGCGCATGCATCCTCTCACTCCGGAGGACAGATCCAGTGCAGCATTTTGACATTGCACTTCTTTTGACTGACGATATAACAGAGACGGAGCTTGACCAAGTTTCAGGGCTTGAGAAGAATGGTTGGGATCTGTTGGCTTCAGTTGCATCACGCCCAGATTTGTCAGTGAAAGGACTTCAATGTGCTCTACAAAGAGTTGGAGGCGACATCGGAGTCATCCGAGTCTGTTTTTCCAGTTCGAGCTTTGATTTGCACGAGAGTATTCCATTAAAAAGTTGCTGAAAGTTGTGTGTGCTGGACATTGCTGGACCCGTTTTTAACCTGAAGGCCTGGCGGGTGAACGAGGCAGCTCGAATCCAGAACTCCGGATTTGACGAGGCCCGTGGTCGTTGTGGTGTGCGTGTGCCCGAGATACAGCAGATGCCGAAGCACAGGCCACTCGCCGTGCTGCGCAATATGAGCTGCTGCGGAAGGTGCGCCACAAACATGTCAGAATTCGATTCGTCGCATCGGACATCTCACGAATCATTCAAAGCCAAGGAGACCAAACTTTTACAGACCATTGACAAGCTGAAGATCAAGGCAATGCGCTTACCCTGTCACTGCAACATTTTTTGTTTGGTCTTTTTTGATATGTTTTCGCTTACCACCGATTCACATGGGATTCGCATAGAGCATATTTGTGCGTGAGAATCAATGCCAAGGCACACTCCCAAAATCGGGACAGCAAGATCAAAGGAAAGCTAGAGCAGCAGCCTTAGACCGTCGGAGCTGTTGCAATGCAACGCGACGTGTTGTAACCTGCACGATGCATTGAGGTCAATGGCTCAACCGAAAGTTTGGCTACAGACGGATGGTGAGACCACCACAGTGCATACGCCTTTCACAACTCGTGCCAAGGACAACATGGGATGTTTCAAGCGACGTCTCACGTGGATTTCGGAAAGAGTGGAGAGAGGAATTGACAATGCCGTGGTGCAATCTTGGCACTTATTTATCTTATTTGCCATCCTTTGCCATCCTTTGTAATCATTTGGTATATTTTGGTATATTTTGGTATATTTTGGTTTAGCAAGATCCTCTACCATGAAAAACGGACCAACCCTTAAAATTTGACATTCCCCAATTCTGGATTGGTGCTGTGAAGCCGACATATGTGGCAGCATTGGCCTGCCACGTGTGGCAGAGCTGTTCTGCCACGTGCATTTTCAATCTGTCAAATGTTGTTCTCTGGATTTTTTGAGTCGCAGAACATGTTTTTTATAATGTTTTTTTGTTACCACCAAGTGTTTTTTTTGTTTTCAAATTGTTTTTTTCCAGTTGCAAAGTCTTGGCCTGCTGTGGCAGGGGTTCCTTTCTGACGTGGCAGTGTGGTGTCTTGTGCGTGGCAGGGGTTCCTTTCTGACGTGGCAGTGTGGTGTCTTGTGCGTGGCAGGGGTTCCTTTCTGACGTGGCAGTGTGGTGTCTTGTGCGTGGCAAGGTTTCTTTTTGATGTGGCAGTGTGGTGTCTTGTGCGTGGCAGGGTTTCTTTTTGATGTGGCAGTGTGGTGTCTTGTGCGTGGCAGGGTTTCTTTTTGACGTGGCAGTGTGCGTGGCAGGGGTTCCTTTCTGACGTGGCAGTGTGGTGTCTCTTGTGCATGGCAGTTCCGTCTAACAAACAACAGGGAAGGTGATTGGGCATTACGTTGTGTTTTATTGCGCATTTCACTCGCATCTAACTTTCATTTGCGTCTTTACTTAGTGCTGCTTGGGGGGGCAGGGCAGCACATTAATTCGACAGGTTAGTTTGGTGTGCGTGTGTGTGTGTTTTTGTGTGTGTGTGCGCCTGCGTCACTGAATGTTTTTGGCGTCCGGCATTACATGTACCAGGTAAACAGGTAAACGGTAAACTTGTAATATCTATTTTAAAAATGCAATGATTGTATACCAAACTAACATACAGAACATGGCATGTGCAGCTAAAATTTCAATCAGAGAAGACTTGTGTGAGCCAGTTGTTTCACCTGACATCCAATTCACTGTGGCTCATTTGAACCTTGCGCTTCAACAACATGTGAATTTCTTTTGGTTGCAGTGCCACAAGACACAATTGTTCAAACCACCTGGAAAGCACAGCCTGTGCAGAAATCTGGAGTCAACTGACTGGCTAGTTAATTATAATATATATTTATAGTACACTAGTACACTATTATAGATTGTAGGTTCTAGATTCTAGATTCTAGATTTCATATTATAGATTCTAGATTCTAGATTCTAGATTCTAGATTCTAGATAGTAGCAAGTGGCAAAAGCACCAATAGAATTGAATGAATAAATAGAAATGTTTGCATTTGAAAACGGGACAGCGGGACAACCTGTAATCATAATAATATAATATTCTGCTATAATACTTTGGCCATAGTACTCTATACACACATGGATGATGTGTAAAACTGGGAATCATAATTCAATTGAGCGTGCATGTGCGCTGCACAGCCATGGATGCTTCAGCTTCCATGGATAGCTCCAGTGCTGCGGCGTTTGATTTTACCGATATGTTTGATGATCCTGATTTCGCTATGCCAAGTTGTGCTTTAGCAGTGGCAGAGGCACGTGTGGCTACGGTGGACCAGGACAAGAATCTGAACCAGCAGAATGATGGCCTTCCTGTAATGCCCTTTAGTGTGCGGAGCAGGGGAATCTGTTCTATCCAAAAAACGGGGTTGAGACGTCTTAGGAAGAGACAAGAACAACTCAAAGCCGGTGTCGCTAGAGTCAATAAAGGTAGCATGTACTCCAAGGGGACAAAGGAAGAACGCACAAATTGGTCCCTAAGATTGCAGCTGAAGAAAGCGGAGAAGAAACTTGCATTGAATGAATGTAGTGTTTTGGAACTATTGACTTCTTTGCAAAAGCGAAGTCAGCATGGTGATGGAATGCGGCTGCGCATTTTGAGGAGGGGACGTCTTTTTTCCAAGCGTGGTTTGATCAATGCTGCAGCGGTTAAAGCATCTGGGAAGGGGAATCGGTTTGTCAGTTCTTATTCCATGACTGACTTTCTTGAAACAAGTTTTGGGAAACTTTCCAACAAAAAGAGAATCAAACAGCGTAATGCTCTGGCTGTTTCATCGGAGATGGGCCCGCGGACAGTTTCAACAATGCAGATGACGGTTGCATGTGCCGTCATGGCAAGACAGGCTCGCATCCTTGCGAACTTGTACAAACTTTGCAAGAAGAATCCACCCACTGTTTTTGCTATGCGAGAGGCTTTTGATGAGACCGGTCACAAGGTCACAGTCAATTTGGGGTTTGGAAACGAGACGGCTGTGTCCCAAATTTGTGTGGTCCACCACTACCTTGTGATTTGTTGGTTGGTCGGGGGCGAACAGAAAATGATGTGCATGCCTTTGGTGATTCCTCCACTGCTAGTTCTTACACCAAGTGCACCACAGCTATACTATGCCACCACCAACCACCCAATGCTCCACACCATCCGTTCTTTTGAGAGACTCATTGCTGAAACAGCAGGGGAACAGATTTTGCTCCAAGAAACCGACTCGGCGACAGCAAATGATCGCCTTTATCATTTCAAGCTGAATCGTTTTGACGGAGATCGTGCTTTGCGAGAGTGCATGCCATGCTTAAACCACCAAGTCACTAGGCAGGCGCATTTATATAGTTATTTAGCTTTCATACTTTTTCTGTGTTGAGGGGATTGTTGAACATGTTTGTCAAGGGGGAAAAACATTTGCCATTGATTTGTGATGTTGGGGACATACAGCATATTTATTGAAAGTGTAGGGTAGTGTAATGTAGAATGTAATGTAGTGTAGTATAGTAGTCCATATCTATGTTATTGAATTTATATTCTAAAAGTATAAATAAACAAACTATATAAACATAAATTATCCAACTATATACATTGGCATTGTTTTCAATGTTGAATACCCGTATCTAGCAGCTAGCTCGATTCCAAATTCCAATTTTCTTATTGGTAGCCGGTTGGACTTGACCCTTGACTATGGGAGTCTAGGAGTCTGGGACTAGGAGTCCTAATCAAAATCAGGCGTCTGAGTCTAGGCCACCTTTTGCCATGGTCTTCTTCAATAGGGAAAACGGGAAAACATATGTCATATGGCCATAGCTATTGCTGAAAAGCGGGGTTCCCACATCTTATCTGTCTTAGTTTAGTTTGCAGTTTTTAGGAATTCGTTTTGTTTTGTGAGCCCACTTGAAAATTTTGAGTTTTGAGTAGGTCATACGCATGTGACCCGTGAGTGTGATGTATGTTTGAACTTTGCCGCTGTTGCTTACAGCAACGGAAACAGCTCTCAGGTATCTCTGATTGAAGGCAGTGCTGTCACCCAGACGGACAAAAAGTTGATCAGCAATCTGTTTTCTTTCACCCACTTCCTCCAAGCTCGAACGAACTTCAGCAAATTGAAAGCAAGTGTATGTGAAGTTCTCAAAGCTTCTTGTGAGATTCGAGTTGTTGCAGACCTCCCTTCTGAAATGAATCGCCCAAATGAATGTGTAGAAGAATTGCTTGACATGATGCGAGCTGTTCGGTGGGCTTCTGCTCAGAACAAAAAGCGGGCTGATATTCCAGAAGGCGCAGATGAACAAATTTCTTCTGGCAAATATTTGGAGAAGGAGTCGTTTTTCAGACGCATGTGGAATGGTGGTTTCACAACCACGCCAACGCATATATGCTGTCGGGATGGCCCGAACCCCTGCTGTAGCAACAATGATGAGTCGCAGACAAGGATGGCTGAGTCCATGATTGGGCTTGCTTTCAGCGCCATTCCCTCGACGCCTGCCCCCGGAAAATGGACAAAACTTTGGGAGCCATTGATGTTTCTGGTGTTTACAACATGGAGCCATCTTCTACAACCTTGTTTTGAGAAAGTTGTCACTGGGTTTGCAAAAGAACCCGGAGAGATTGACCCAGAGTTGGATCCTGCTCTGCAAGCGGTCTTGCAGTGGTCCAAAATTACTGGAATCTTTGTTTCACACGTATAAGTATATTTTTCATTTATGTTTTCTGTTTTCATGTTCATTCTCCAGGCCTGTGATTCTACATAACCGTAACCCATGCCCCATGCTTGCCACCACAGCAAAAAAAAACATATCAATATTGTCATATATTTGCAACACTCACTCTTACTTACATTACCTGCAACACTCCCTTCATTGTATATATGAAGAATGGTTTTATTTTCTTGCAGTGTGATTAAAATTCCAAAAGTGTGCATAGCGAGGTTATTGTGGCATTAATCTTTTATATTTATAATTTATCATTATTAGTTCGGATATTGGTTTTGCCTGTTTTGCCTGACCTTTGACTGACAGTGACACTAACTTGACCAAATTAACTAAATTTATATTTTAGTCACTATCAATGTTTTGTGGCTGAGGAACAAGGGCCAGCAAAGCGCAAGAGTTTGTGAACCGAGTGGGTGGGACATCATTTGGAAAGTGGCCCGGTTCCGACAACATTTGTTTTCCCAAATTATTTTCTCAGGCCTTTGAACATGACAGGTGTTCCGGTCAAGAGTCTAGCTAGAGTCTAGTCAAGTAGTCTAGAGTCTAGAGTCTAGAGTCTAGAGTTTGGTAGAGTTTGGAGCCTCATGTTTGGTGAGTAAGGCACTTGCTCTTCCTGGCATTAGTCGATGAGGCTATCAGGTTCATGACGTTTACATTTCTCGGGTCATGCGCATCATTTGGCAACCCATTGGCCAGCCCCATCCTTTTTCAACTTGCAAATCCATCGTCCTCACCATTGCTAGCTGCGCTGCAATATTTGGCATCTTTGCTTTTTTCAACTGGCCCCAAGACACGTTTGCAGATCGTGCTCAAGTCGGGGTACGCATCCATTCCTGATTGGGAGCAGGAGGCGCCCCAAGATGTCAGAACCTTTAGACGAATGGTTTTGCTGACAATTTCGTGGTTGCAGCGGCGTGTTGGCGACAGAATTGATGAGTTTCCCTTTTCACTGGTTGCTTTGGCCGACCCAAACACATCACAGGAGTTTCGGCAAAGTATTTGTCAACAATGGGATGAAGCTCATTCATGTTGCGTTCGTCCGGGTTTTGCTGCCAAGTCGAAGAAACGGCACATCAGGGGCGATGATTTGCTCAGTCCAAAGTGGCTAAGCTTGTGAGTTTGTGCAAGTACTACTGTTGCAGATTCTTTCATTTTGTCAACGTGGCTCTTCTCACCAATGATAGCAAAACAAACCGAGAGAAATCACACAAATGAAATGTCCATGTATATATATTATATTATTATATATACAATATACCTTTATTTTAGTTCAGTTTGGTTTCTTTAGCTTTAGATTCAAATATGTTTATTAAATTATTATTATCGTTGTTTTTGTCTGATAGAACAATATAATAGGCTCAGTGTCCCTTTTGATATTTCCCACTTAGGTGGGCAGCTGTTCTACATTCACTGGCTGCAGTCACAACATGCACTGTGGCTGATTGCGAAGTTGCGCATAGTCATCACGGGTCCTTGCTTAGAAGTACAGGGGCTACCCGAACAATGGCAAACCTCTGCAGCAATTCTATCAATGATTATGCTCGAACATTGCGCCTGCGAGTGGAAAAGGTTGCCCAAGTCTGTTCTCAACAAGTAGAAAACGGTACCAGCTCAGAAGGATCGTCAAGTCAAAAGGCCGAAGTTTCTGGAACTAGCGGGGGCAACTTGAAAGCGAGTGCTCTGCTTGTTTTTCGAAAAGCTTACATCAGTGGCCAGAAAAAACTGGGGTCGGAAGTCAAGAACTGGTTCTCAAAGGATGCATGGGCTGAAGTGAAGGCTGCCTTTGCATCTCTGCCAGTGGAAACCCAGGCAAGCTACCAGGCACTTGCAGACTCTTGCAACACATTGCGTGCGGAGTCCGCAAAGACAAAAGCACTTGCCGATCAGTTTGAGTTTGAGAATTCAAACTCTTCTGGAGCTGCCGTGAAATCTGCACAGTCGGATTTAGCAATCTGCCCGGTGCCTGCGGGACCATTGAATGTGCTGTTAGGTTCTTTGGATTTCAAAGAGTTGCGAGACAAGATGGCATCTTTGGAAGAGTTTGTTGCGCACTTAGCCCACCAGCACCAAGACCTAGTTTCAAAATGCTCGAAGGCACCAGTGAACAATGTTTGGCCAATAGATGAAAGCAACATTTTGTCTTCACTGATGGGTATTCGTTGCGCAAAGAAGTCTTTGGTCGAGCGCACTCAGGCCTTTAAGTATCTTGACCCACCTCTTGGTCAATTTGACTTTGACTTTTGATAGGGGTGCTGGAAAAGTTGACAGTTATGTTTATGTTGATATATTGATAGTTGGTCTTCTTTTTACTTTTGGTTTTTGGGTTCCAATTTTTCAACATGAGGAAGTTGGCATCCCATACTGCTGGCCCGAAGTCTGAGGAAGACACGTTTCCAAACCATGTCCAGTACCGGAGCTATTGCAAAGGGGGACTCTGTCGCTTCCATTCTCCAATTCGGGTTTCACAATTGTGTTCCAAATTGGTTGATGCACTGAATGGTATGGGTCGAAAATATGATAGTGCAGCTCAGATGGTGCGTGATGATCTCCTGTTGCGCTTCGGTATTTTTCACGCTGGAGCTCGGCAAGTGACGTATGAGTACTACCTTCTTACTTCAGCTGTGTTCAGGGGTGGGAGACAGCCGGCACAACAATCTTACTGCTCCATGGACATTGTACGCCAAGAATCAGGGTCACAAAACAATGTTCTTCTTAAGATTGCCCAGCAGCCGCATGTCCAACAGAGCAAGACATGGCCATCCCCATTGGAAAGAGGGTCGGATGAAGCATCAGGGTGCCCTGTAACCCTTTCAACCATGAAACTTGCAGCCCGTTTGTCGCAGCTGAAGCTGGAAACCAGGTTGTCAGATGAGTACCCCCACAAAATTGTGATCAGAAAAATCAAATTCACTGATGTCTCTAGGTCGCTCCTTCAGGTCACAGGGTGCGATGCAACTTGGAATCCAATTTTGGTAGAAGTTCCGGTGGACAATCAAGCGGGGTCATTGGTGGAGAAGAGTTCCGGGGCAGCAAGAGGGGCAAGAGCCCAAACCAGAAACAAAACTGGTGAAATTGACATGTTGAGCTGTGGTTTCGATTTGGGCTTAGACTTAGACTTGGCCATTGCAAATCCGGAACCACAGGTGCTGGAGGCAGAGCCTGAACCAACTGATCAGATTGATGATCACAGTGTCAATGATCCAACCCCCCCTTGTCGAGAGGAAATTATTGAACAACTTTTGGCCGCACTTGATGTGCAAGTCAACTCAGAGGAATACCTGGATGTAGGGAGTTCCACTGCAAATCAGAAGGGGGTGGATGATTACCGAGGGCTGTTGGGTCAAGATGAGTTGGCTGTTTTGGAAGAAATTGACAAGAACTTTTCAACCAAAGAGCCTGCAGCTTTTGTTGAAGATCCCCAAGCTCAAGATGCATCTTGACTTGCCAGTGGTTCTAGGATTTTAGGGTTCCTGGGTTATCATCGCCAAATTTTTGCCAATCATCAATGTACAATGTACAATTGCACAATGAACAGTGAACACTGTACACACTGTCACTTTACTTTACTTACTGTACTGTACACTTACACTGCTTACACTTACTTACA